AATGACATGTTATACATAGAACTTTATTCTTTTTCTGTAGTGCTATACAATATTTTTCTTCTTTTCAGTGTTACCGACACATGCAACATGAATAATTATCAATAAACATTTGTTTTTACAGTACTTTGACTTTTAATCAAAAACAATAATATCCATTGGAGCAAATACCAATAATTCTAATTTCTTGAACGTTATGCTTTAATGTACCTAGTACCTACCTACCTAATTTAATTATTTTAATTATATTGCAGATGGATGCTAGTTTATAATTTTTATAAATGATACCCTACTACCCTCAGTCTCAGAACTCACTACTCAAAATTGTGTAGCCGTGTAGGTACATATTGTAATAAAATATACCACCTATAACTTAAATCTATTGGACTCAAACTGACACTAATAAGTAGGAAAAAACACATTAGGTATCACATCATCGTCTTAAAACAAAATAATAAATATAAATTGGAGGCAATTGAATCGATACCAATATAGTAAATAGTTTTAAAATGCAAACTATAATAATATTATTAAGTCTATAAATACCGGCTGGCTACTATTACAAAAATATTGTACGATATTATTGTTAGTTTTTGTTTTATCGTATCAACGACATCGTGTATTATTGATATTTGATAGAACCTTTTAATACTAACCAACCTTGAATAACATGACGATAGAACCTTTTCATACTTATGTAAACTTATCAGAATAACAAAGTTCTATCGAGCTACAGCTATAATCACGATTCTGGTAAGTTTCATGACATAGAACCTTTCATTGTCTATATCTCACTAAGTACTAATTGTAAAAACATCATTTTTGAATCAAAAGATGCACAATTGAAAACTAAACAAATATATGCAAAAAAACGATTTTTGAAAAAAGTGGACATAGAACCTTTTCATTCTCGCCCGCGAGATATAAAAAAATGGAATTGTGGTATAATGACTCGCTTCAACCACAACCATTTCCTCCAAATTTTGACATTCAAATGATCCATTTAAAAAGATCTATTGGTCTGGCTGGAACAAGTACCGGCAATTTGGCTACTTCCATCAGACAAATTTATACCCGAGAAGTTTTGTTGTCAGTATTCTGGAATAACATTATATATTTTAAACAACTTAAGATAATTTTTTTAATTTTTAGCATAAATAAGATTAAAGTATTAATTGCACACCATTAACTGCCTTAGAAATCCAGAAGGTGCACAAAACTACACGCATTTACAGTCCCGGTTTTGTCTTAATAAAATGCGACGTCGTCGTCGTCCAAAAAATCCAACCTCTATTGATCAGTTAGCAGATATATTGAATGAACCTACAACATCTACATCATATATATCAACATTGCAGCGTCCTTCTTCAAGGTTCATGAAATAAATTTCAAATATTTTTTGTTTAATTTATCATTTCTTTATTATTTTACTTAGATTTTTTCAACATGATTGTCCATTGATGGTAGATAGAGAACGAGTTGGTGTAGTATTTGCTAATACAGATGCAATCGACAAATATAGGAGATAACTACTCCAATCAATTGAATGGGGGCGGGAATAACGTGCTATGTAACATTTTTTCAATTTTCATGTTTTTGCGGAATAACGTGCTATGAAGCAATCTCGATATATTTTAAGAATCAAAAAATTCCCAGAATGTTTTTATCGTACACAATCATCGTGTATATACTTCGAAACCGGCGATTAGTTGACTATTAAAACGTGCTATGTGCGTTAAGTGTTTACAGTATTCACAGTCATGGGCGGATAGGCCTACCGGGAAACCGGGAATTTCCCGGTGGGCCCCCCTTCGTATTTCGGTAATGGGGCCCTTTAATAAAATGCAATTACCTACGATAGAAATAATTTGAAATATCAAAAAAAATATTATAATCTTATATCAATTATATCTCATATACATTACTATCTGTGGTCTTTTTCAAAACATTTCTTATCGGCCCGCAGCCGCCGTGCTCTCACAACTACAACGTCGGTTAATGGTTGGCGGCGGGTAGTGGGTCACGGTTGAAACTGGTAACTGGTGAGGTGGGTAATCACTCACAAATCGGTTGTTGTAGATACTATTTTTAGAATAATCTAAACTAAACATTGGACTTTTTCAATGCTACGTGTATTTGTGTGCGGTAATATAAAGTAATATTTACTATTTTACCGATATCTAATCACAAACAAATTGTAGAATTATAATTATTATATACTTATTGCACTATTGCAGACATAACGTTTCTACTAACTCGCGGTTAATCGTTAGTAATTTTTCTTGATTTAAGTTATATAGTTGATCAGTATTCAGTGTTATATATTATATTCCTTAGTTCTTACACATTGCATAGTACATACAGACATACAGTTAAAACAGACGTTTACGTGCTGTTTTATTTTTTTCAATGGGCAATTCCAAAAAATTACATAAAAGCGGAAGTGCTAAACGAAAAAAAAAGGAGAAAGAGTTGCTTAGAAAGGAAAGTCAAAACCCTAATCAAAAAAAATTAAATTTTGTAAAATCAAGTAAGTACTCACATTGGTTATATTATATATTATATTGTATATTAACTAAAATTACACTATATTTTATATAGATATCTTAATATTATCATTATTACATTTGATAGGTAGCAATTAGCAGTATAAAATAAGTAGGGTTTGTCAAATAAATATAGGTAGTTAAAATATTTAAGACACAATTTGTGTTCTGAATGTGTCTATTATATTTATAATTTTTAACATTATTTGAAGTATAAAAACTTAACTTAAACACTTGTATAATTAGATGTACTTAATTGATAATTGATGTTGTTATAATATATTTATATTATAGATATATTATGCATTTTTTATATGCTAATATAACAGACAATTTTTCAAATCATACTAAGCTAGAAGGTAAATTGATGCATTAATTGTATTGTATTTAATTTTGGAATAATGTTAAGACTTCAGAATTAGTTTAATTAAAAAACAAAATTATAATAATATAAAACATTAGATATATTATGTTTTAACTGAATAATTTTATAAATATACTTTCCACTTTTCATCTTTAGGTGACAATAATTTGAAAAAATGTAGCAGTAGAGTAATTGAAAATGAAAGAGAAAATCTGAATAGTGATAATGGTAATTTCAAATTATTTTTCTATACTTATTTACCTAAACTATTTTAAAAATGAAAACTTCCCTTTCTAGATGTCAATTCTTCAAAACAAGATATTAAAGATATTGAAAATGTTGATACCATGGCAATAGTTGAAACCGAGGTTGAAACCTGTTCAAATATTGATAATGGTACCTATATAATTATAATATTATATACCTAATTTTTAATTATATAAATCTAATTTCCAATTATAATCTGTAGGTGACAGTAATTTGAAAAAATATAACAGTACTGCTATTGAAAATGAAAGAGAAAATCTGAATAGTGATAATGGTAATTTCTAGTTAACTTTTTTACCTAAACTATTTTAAAAACTAAAACTACATTCTAGATGTCAATGCTTCAAACAAGACAATGAAAAAATCAAGTAATACAATTGAAAATGTTGAAAATGTTGATACCATGGAAATAGTTGAAACCGAGGTTGAAACCTGTTCTAATATTGATAATGGTACCTATATAATATTATATACCTAATTTTTAATTATATAAATCTAATTTCCAATTATCATCTGTAGGTGACAGTAATTTGAAAAAATATAACAGTACTGCTATTGAAAATGAAAGAGAAAATCTGAATAGTGATAATGGTAATTTCTAGTTAACTTTTTTACCTAAACTATTTTAAAAACTAAAACTACTTTCTAGATGTCAATGCTTCAAAACAAGACAATGAAAAAAATCAAGTTAATACAATTGAAAATGTTGATACCATGGAAATAGTTGAAACCTCTTCAAATATTGATAATGGTATCTATATAATATACACCTACATTTTTTTTAAATTTTTTTATTGTAAATTAAAATGTTTCAGCACACTGAGTGCTAATAATAATAGTTTATAATAAATGTTATACGTAAATTTGAATTCTATAATTTTAAACTAGTATAACTTTTTTTTTTACAGAGGCTACTGATATGTTTATAAAACCTAGAAGTATTAATTTACAAGCTTTTGGTCATTCCATCCTCATCACCGAAACCAACATTCCATTCAGACCTTCAAAATTGTACAACCGTAAGGATGGAGGTCATCGTAAATGGATATCTTATTGTGTTAAGAAAAAAGCTTTATTTTGCAATATATGTCTTTGTTATGGTGATGGTTCTGGATCATTTTCCAAAGGATTTTCTGTCTGGAAACATGTATATGAGCGAGTCAGTGATCACGAAGAAACAATAACACACAAATTAAATGTTGATGCTCATTTGATGAAAAAGCAATTTTCCTCAGTGGATTCACTTTTAACACACGGACTTGGTTCAATAAGAAAAATACAAGTTGAAAACAATCGAAATGTATTACTTCGTCTTATTGATGTGTTAAAGTTAATTGGAAAGCGCGGACTAAGTTATAGAGGTAAAACAAATGAGGCTGCTTATTCACTCGACGATTCTTCCTTAGACCATGGCAATTTTTGGAATAACTTTACTTATTAGTAAATATGATTCCTTGCTTAAATCACATTTAGATAAAGTTGTAAAAAAAAGTTTAAAATGTCATAATTCTGGAGCCCAACAAGGAGGAGGTCAAGTTACTTTTTTATCAAAAACTACAATTAATTATATTCTTGAAATTATTGCTAAAAATATCAAATTTACAATTTCTAATGAAGTGAAAGATGCTGTAATATATTCTGTACAACTCGATACAACACAAGATGTACAGATCAATGCTCAATAATATTAAGATATGTAAATGGTACATCTGTCTTTGAAAGATTAGTTGGTATGGTAAGGTGTAGCTCAAGTAAAGGCTCCGATTTTGTTGAGTTACTCTTAAAAGTTCTCAAAGATATGAATCTAGACCCAAAATGCTGTATAGGAAACGCAACCGACGGAGCTGCAAATATGCAAGGAGTTTATAATGGATTTTCCACGAAAATGAGCGAAGCAGCAGTTGAACAAGTACATGTATGGTGTTATGCACATGTATTAAATTTAGTTATTAGTGATATTACAAGCAAAATTGTCCAATCTATTTCTTTGTTTGGTATCTTGCAAGGATGTGCGGTATTTATACGTGAGTCATATAAACGTATGGACATATGGACAACCAAAAATTCCAAAAAAAAAATATGTACAATCGGCGAAACAAGATGGTGGTCCAAAGATGCAGCATTGACAAAGGTTTTTGGACAATTTAATGAACCCGAAAATGGATTGTATGTTGATCTCATAACTACATTAGATGAAATTGAAAACAATTTAGGTATAACTCCAGATGCTCGATTCAAGGCAAAAAATTTAAAAGAAGGTTTGTTAAAATATGAAACTATTTTAACTGCCCAAATGTACTTGCGAATTTTTAAAAAAACCACTCCTCTATCAAAATATTTACAAGGGCATGGAGTTAATATAATTGCAGCTTATCAAATGGTGAAACAAACTTTGAATGATTTACAAGACTGTGCCCGCCAATTTCAATGTATAAAAGAAGCAGCCAATACTTTTGTTGAATATACCAATAAAAAATTTGATGAAATGGAGAATAATACTTTAGAAATTCTAAATGAGTTACCTCATATTAGAGTAAGAAAAAAAAAAAGACAATTTACTGACTATGAATCAATAGATGATCCTATTACAGATCCATTACGGGCATTTGAAATCAATGTTTATAACCAAGTATTTGATACTGTTATTGAAAGTATTTCATCAAGATTTGAAAAACATGAACAACTATGTGCAGATTTTTCTTGTCTTGACCCAAACAATTTTCAACTAGATTTACCACTTCCAACAAATGCTTTAATAAAAATATATGAAAAAATCAGAAATTTTATTCCGGACATAACTTACGATGATCTTAGAAATGAATATGTTGACTTTACATCTAAATGGAGAGAATTGAAAAAAACCATTGCTTGTGTGTATGATGAACTAAATAATCAAGTTACTGATGATGGTGATGATTCAGAAAATGGTAATCTATATTTATTATTACATAAATATTAAAAAATAAAATCATCAATAATTATGTTATATTTTATTTTATGTTTTGTTCTAGGACTCAAGAGTGATGATGATATTATAGTATGTGTGCACAGTGCCAGTACCAAGTATTGTGTAACCTGCTGTTATGAAGTGTTGGTGAAATATAATTTATACGCAAATACATATCGTGGCCTCCACTTTGCATATAAATTTATGCTTACTTTATCCATTACACAAGTAGAATGTGAACGTACATTTTCGAAATTAAAATTTGTAAAAAATTATTTAAGAAATACAATAGGTCAGAATGTATTAGAGAGTATGTTGCTAATGAATGTAGAAAAAGATATTCTCAACAAAATTGATTCCGAAGACATCATAAATAAATTAGGAGCTAGAAGCCCAGTATTTGGTAGAATGTTACTATGTTAAAATGAAAAACTAAATTTGATTAAATAGTAAAAAATAGTTTTGTTATACATTGTTGGTTATGTGTTATGCTTTATTTTGATGTGGTACTTAATAAAATTGATATAGTAATGTACTTGCGAGCGAAGCGAGCGACTTTTTTTTTCATGTTTGGGGCCCCTTTGTAAAATTTCCCGGTAGGCCAAAATTGGCCTATCCGCCCATGTTCACAGTAAGTCAACGCGACGCGAGACGTGCGAATATCACGATTGTGTTACCAATTTAACTATGACAAGTCTAAATAATTTATCTACTAGTGATGTTAACCGTTTAAGTGATGGACGAAAACGGAAAATCAATATGACAGATTGGAAAAATGTAAAAAACAAAACTCTTCGAAATTGTGGGAAGGAATATACATCTCAGAGTAAAAAGCTTGTACCAGCTAAAACACCTCCAACCGTGGTTAGTAAAAATGTTATGAATATAGTAAAATAAACATAATGTTGAAAAATATTTTATACACATTTTTAAAAATTTTAGGATCAAGTTTGTGACCAGAGTTCATGTCCTTGGTAAGGTTGTGCAACAATGACTTTAGCAAGAAAACTTTTATTATTTGACGAATTTAATATGTTAACGTATGATGAACAATCAGCTTTTTTGTATAAGTGTATAAAAGTAAATGCTCCTGTGAGAAGACGACCAGGAAAAACAGATGCTACATCACGACGATTTTGTTTATTTAAATATTACATAGATGATTTACAGGTATGCAAAAATACTCTTTTAAATACGTTTGGTATTACAAGAAGACGTGTTATGACGCTACAAGATAAAATTAAATTAGGTATTATTACACCTAGGGATAACCGTGGAAAACATTTAAATAGACCTCATGCTATTGATGCCCCTGTAAGAGATTTAATTAGACAACACATAAATAGTTTACCTCGACAACCGTCTCATTACAGCCGTATCGCTACAGATAACCTGCAATGTTTGAGTTCAGACTTAAATTTGTGTAAGCTTTATCGATCGTTTAAAAATAAATATCCAGATATAAATGTCAGTAAACGTATCTATAGAAATATTTTTCGGTCATACTTTAAATTACGTTTCGGCTATCCGCGTTCAGATACATGCAAACAGTGTGATTTTTTTTATAATAAATTAGTGGCAGCTAATACAGAGGAAGAAAGAAAAAAATAGAAATTGATAGTAAGTTGCATCATTCTAAAGCTGAGCAATCGTATGATGCCCTTAAAAAAGATACAGACATCGGTAAACTCAATAGCTCTATTGTAGTGCTTTGCGTTGATCTACAGCAAGTATTATTTTGCCCAACTCTTACACATTCTAACATGTTTTATCAGAGACAACTTTCCAACTATAATTTAGCAATTCATAACGTAGGTAATAATGAAGTTTCTATGCATTTGTGGTATGAATGTATCGCTAAAAGAGGCTCATTAGAAATAGCTTCGTGTATTTTAAATTATATCGAAAATAATTACGATATTCTTGGACATGGCGAAGAGAGGAAATTGATAATATGGTCTGATAGATGTGTCGGTCAAAATAATAACTGGCGAATATTAAACATGTATTCCTATCTAATATTTTGCAAGTATTTTACAGAAATTAATCAAAAATTTCTTTCGACTGGCCATAGTTTTTTACCATGTGACCGTGATTTCGCTTTAATTGAAAAATAAAAAAAAACAGCAAAAGTACTTGTACCGTCACAATGGAAATATATTATAGCTAATGCAAGATTAGAAAAACCATTTCGTATTATAGAAATGTCTCAAAATGATTTTAAAGATTTTTCTGCATTAGAGCAAGATATTACAAAAAAAAATCTAAAAATAACACAAGCAATGTGGTTGAAATTGACAGCTGATGCTCCTAAGCATGTAAATATTCGTGAAAGTCACAATACACTGATACCTTGGACATTACATAAAATACGTTAAAACAACTTTAAAGATAATACTTTATCTATTAAAGATTTACCACCAGCCTACGAATTCCCAGTGGCCTTAACAAAAGAAAAGAAAAAAGATCTTTTAGACATGTGCAAGTATATGCCTCAACAATACAGTGACTTCTATACATCATTACCTGGATAATATATTGTATTAATTTTAAAATATGTAAAAATAATTATGTGGTTTTTTAAAGGGTAATAAAATACCAGGATAATATTATATTGTATTAATTTTAAAATATGTAAAAAAAAATAATGTGATTTTTAGTAATAAAATAATATGTTTTATTAATATTAGTATTTATGATATAATTTTGTTTGAGTGAAATGAATACAGTACCTCAACAATACAGTGACTTCTATACATCATTACCCGGATAATATATTGTATTAATTTTAAAATATGTAAAAATAATTATGTGGTTTTTTAAAGGGTAATAAAATACCAGGATAATATTATATTGTATTAATTTTAAAATATGTAAAAAAAAATAATGTGATTTTTAGTAATAAAATAATATGTTTTATTAATATTAGTATTTATGATATAATTTTGTTTGAGTGAAATGAATACAGTACCTACACAAATAAAAAAAATAATAAAATATTGTAGAGTGTTATAGTCGAATATGGAAGAACGTTCTACGTGCGTTCCAAATAACATTAAAAAAAATGTATAATACAGTTTTCTTTTTTAGTTGTTCCTGAACATTTACGAATTGCTACATAGCACGTTATTCCCGCCCACCCTTCAATTACAGATTATGAACGAGGTTTGATGAACGAAGTAAGGATTTTTTTTCCTCAAACAAAGCTTCAGGAATGTTGGTTCCATTTTTGCCAGTCTGTTATCCGGTACTGCAAAATAAGAATGAACAGTCTATTCCAACTATTTCAGAGAAGTGTTGAGGCGGCCATAGTTTTACGCATGGTAATATGCTATTACGATGAAATAATTTTGTGATTATTTAATTTGCCTAAAATTAGTTTGATATTTTTACTTACTTGGTTAAATTCGATTTGGGTTTTTAATTTTTAGGTGTTAGCTCTACCCCATCTTCCTGCTGAGTCCCAAATTAATTGTAATTTCACAATGTTAGATGGTTTTCAAATAATCGTGGATTATGTCAACCAACAACCTGTAATTCGCGAACGCCTACAAGGATTTTTATTTGGCTACATACACGATTTTTGGTTTAGACAAATAACTGCTGAAAACATAAGTTTCTTTGGGTTAGAATTCTTAAAAATAACATAAACAGATTATTGTCATATAAATTATAATATATATTTTTGTAATATATCTTAGGTCAGAGGTTCGAACTAAAAATTATGTTGAGTCCTTT